ACTAAGTTGAATTGTTTTAAGTCTATTAAATTTAAGCACTTTGGTTGCTTACTTACTTTACAAATATGATTGAACTTCTTTGGCATATGAAATTTTATAGGTTTTATTATCGGAAAATAAATTGTCATTTTTCATAATATATTCACTAATAAGAATAATGGCCTTCGTTGAGATTATTCCTTTAGAAGCTATAGATGTTGTGCTTCTATCGGAATTAGTTTGATATGAAACTGCATCAAGTAAATTATTGGGTTGTATTTGAGGGAAAAAATTGACCGTGTAGCTAATCTAAATTAAGGCCATGCAAGTTGTTTAATTACCCCCCAACGTGAGATTGGAAGTTCATTCGAAGTGACGAGATTACCCATCATTGTCAAACAGATACTGACGTTTGCGGGCAAGAATCCGTCCAGCAACCTACGGAAATAACCATGAACTTTGAATTTTAGGTGGTGGAATACCCAGAAAGCAAGCCGTTTGCTCAATTTGAATGCAAAAATTATATGCGCTTAGGGCATTAGATGTCTCGCTCCCATGATTATCTCGTTCTCTCATTTTCTTCAGCCAATAAAAAATTTAAATAAGAATAATAAGTAATAAAAGTAAAGTATTAGCGATAAATTTCTATCTGAAATTTAAATAAACATCGAGTTTTACCTATTCCATTTGTCCGGTATTTCTCATCTAAGTTGACTCAATCACCACTGCCAATTACATTTTGCCTATAATAATCAGTAGTTCAGTTCGGATTTACTTGGTTAAAATCAAAGAATATGTTGTGAACCATTTTTCATTGAGAGAAAATTTTTTTTGCTCAAATTAAAATAATATGTTGCTTCGTTTTAATTAAAGCAATAAACTTTCTTAATTTATAAACGTTCGTGCTTTCAAAAACTAAACGAAGGAAGTCACTCAGAAAAAATGCAGAATGCATCAGTCTAAATTTATTTACTTTCTACGACTTGATTTCTGGCCATTTTTAAAGTCATTTATCTAATAGCAACTAAAAGACTTTTTAGATTATCGATTTTTCGATTTTTCATAACCAGTCACAAATTCTGATTGACTTGAGCATAAACCCTGATCGCATCTTGTGTGTTAAGTATTGAAATCTGAATTTTGATACAGTGAGACACAATTCTGACCCGTAGGAAAAATTGTTTGACCGGTTTTAGAATTCGAATGACACAAGACGTGCTTGAATCCGCCTTCTTAACTCACACTATTTGCTACCCCCCCCCTCTCTCTCTCCTGATAAAGCAGGTAATTAGAGTATTTGCACCGATTAGTCCACATTTTCCTGTGACTTAAAATGTTTTTTTTCGTCACATTTTGATGGGTAATTAGCATAGTGCCTACAATCTCAACGTACTGAACTTCCTTGAATAAAATGTTCTAAATATTGAGCTTATGAGAAACCGATCAAAGAGAGGGTATAATCGAATTGAAGGGGCGAAAGAAGCCTTACAAAGGTTTGTATGTGGCTTTCATTGCTCTTCATCAAGTAAAAGAAGAGAAAAAAGCTTTTTATTTAATTTTTAATCGTAATTTATTTTTTTTCCACTCAACTCCACTGTTTATTTCCTCCTTTTCAGCGTTTTTCGTTGTAGAATTATCCATCGCTACTGTCCAAAGTACAGCTCGTCCATCATGCAGCCATAGAACTGCAAGTGGCTTAAAGCACAAGATATATTAATAAATATTAATAGCGTCCCTGCCAACGCAAAAAAAAATTTAGCCAAGTTTTAATGGCGGGAAGCGTTTTGACGTACAGAGTAGCAATGTGGCACGGTAATGGAGGAGAAGGGAGATTCCACTGTAGCAAACAACGATTTCAAGATGTCAAGAGTCCGACTTTTTCTCATATCCGGACGCATCGAATTGACCACTCCTTTCTAATTCACGTCATACCTTGCAAACAGGCTAATACTTTATTTTTACGATTCGCTCCAAAAGTTTTGAATGAGATTGATAAAAGCCCCATTTTTAACCTCTGTCCTCTAAAGTTTACCGAACGTTTTACTCGCTTAGAAAGACAGGAAAAAATAATCAACAATCTATTGCTATTGTTATCATTTCCTAAAGGTGCCAAATAATGAGATTTTGAGCAAATTCCAAGAGTTCCCTTAGACCCATCGTGTAGTCACTAAATTATAAATAAAGAAATAAAAAAATCAAAATATAATGACGCATTTATTATAAACATAATTTAAAAATGTCTGAAAGTAACAAACAAGAAGCCGTCTTCCTGAAAGTTATTCTAACTTCAGTAAAACATTTAATTTCAATATGGATTTGTAAGCCGAAATGTTTAGCCGATTTTCTGACTATAATTCTTATCAGAAACCATTTATTTATTTATTTATTTATTTCAAATGGCAGGCGTTTTGATAGCTAACATTAGCCATTTAGCTGACTTCGGGCTTCACAGAGGGAAAGTTCATCAAAGTAGCAGAAAGTCGAGGGGTGGGGAACAGAAGAGCGATTCACAGATGTAAAAGAGGCAGACAGACACAATGGTAGGGAAAAAGGTAAGGTGAGTACTGTGAAAGGGGTCGAATATGACAACCAGGGGGGTCGTGGTAGTTTGAAGTCAGAAGTCAAATGCCGGATAATAGACTTTTTTTGCCGTATGAGTATACGTTGCCCAGGGTACACCACGTGGAGGTAAGTCTATCCCACACCCCTTATCAAAAATCATTAATTATTAACCTTAAAAATATTCGCTTTGAGGTGGAATATTCATTTGGAGTGATGTAAAATTTCTAAGAAATTCAATTCTTTTAATGGACATTGTAGCAAAATAGTTGGAAATGTGGATGAGGTGTACCTTTGTTTAATTATATGAAATACCCTCCAGGGAGTGTTGCACACTGTTGATGAAGTTCAAGCATTTCAACTTAATTAACTTCCTTTTCTTATATTTTTTATCCTTTATATATTATTGCCTTAACCTTCTCTTTTAATATTGGCCATTTATTGCCGTAATTTGTGCAGACTTAGTTTAATAAATTAATGAAAAAAACTGTACGATCCATTGAAACAAAAGTCATTCTTCAGAAAAAGTAGAATAAAAATTGGTAAATAATTTTTCATTAATTAGAATTGAAATTTCCTCTTTTTAATATGATTTCAAAGCCCTCAGTTCATTCAAATTAGTCATTTCCACCTTCAATTCTAATTTTGACTTGCTTTTAGTAGGTTTGGAGATCTTCTTATATGCTTTCATGTCTTGATAACTTGGTTAATTTAACGGGTGGTCTTGAAGCAACTTCTCAATGGTTTTTTCTTGGCGTCGTGAGTAAGTTGACTAGACAGGACTCAATTCGCCATAATTCACCCAGTTTGGTATTATTTCGTTGCCTTTCACAAACAGGGCTTAGAATAAAGAAGCAAAATGGATCTTCGGCACAAGTCCTTCCTCAAATGTTGTAATTAAAAAATATTTCTGCCTACTTTCTTGAAAATATTTAAAATAGCAGATAAACTTAATGAAATTTTTACTCCGCCTTCACCTAAGCCATAATTACAGACACTAAACACAAGGTAGAAAAACAAATTAGTAATCTACGTAAATATCCCAGGTATTTGCCCATCAAATTAGCAAATTTAAAAAAAATTGTACGATCATTTTAATTATAAAATTTTTAATTTACTGACTGTTTTATATTTAGTCAAGAAAGCAAAACTATAAACCACTTATTTCATGGTGTTTATTAATTCGTGGGATAATTAATTTTGGATATTCCTTATGAAATAACGAATTTGTGGGACTTGAATATCCATCAAAACATCGCTATCCAAGTTTAGATCTTCGTAGAAAAAAGGATAGTTTTTTCGAAATCTTACATTTTTGATTTTGGTATTTTTAGTTTTGGCAACTTAAAAATGCTCATATTTATCCACCTTTCGAAAATAACATCAGATTTTGAGGTTACAAATTAAACCTCATCAAATAGTTACTAATTAATGAATTCAGAACAACTTTTAAATTGGTGTCAAATAGGTGAACTATGAACTAGGTAAACTTTGAGAAACTCTCGACGTATTCTTCAGTGATTTCAATGCTTACAATGTCACTAAACAAAGGAATAGTCTCGCTCAATTTTAAATCGAATATATTTTCAATTATAGAACAGATAATTAGTTATATTTTGATTTGTTCTACAGATATTTTCAGTCATCATCGCTATTGGCTCAAACCATTATGTAGATATTTCCTAACGAATATTTCGCCCATAGGCGTTTCATGATTTGGCTACTAGAAAGTTTAATTCGACCATTTTAAGGAAACCAGTTATGAGGATTATCTACGTATTGGTACAATGCTTATTTTAAATGAAATGAATAAGATAGTCTTCATGATTTTAGGAAAAACTCATTTAAATCAAATAAGGCCCAATTCGAAAAACCAATTAGTTCTTGCACATCTTTGTCAAAGTATGTAAAAATTATCCAGCTATGGGTCATGCTGATTAGCAGATGTCACAGCGCTTTGCTGTGAAAATGCCGGAATTAAGTTCGATTTGATGCAATCGCTATGGCAGAATGTAATTGTTACTTCAGCCTGTTTTAGATATTAATGGGATTCACAAAGTTAGTGATAAGTTCATTTCAACCACCAACAAAGGAGTGTGTTCATTCACACGCAGATAACCAATCACATTTAGGCAATTACGTGTGGTCACGCCTGTGGCTCTTACGTACGCACTCAATTCATCAGTGCGTACAATTTTGCATATGTCCGACATGAGTCATGTAATTCCGATGTTGTTTATTGGCTCATCGGAACCCAATAAGAACACGAGCTTTCACCAATTGGTTAATGGGAGTTTGTACACATTTCAGGACTCTTTTGCTACAGGTTGACTGTCCTGTCTTTTATTAATGAGCTTGACATAATTCGGGTTTAAAAACGATGCCTCTTTTGCCAACATCAGTGGCTAAAAAACGAGCAAAATCCTGGAAAGGCGAGGATCTCGAAAAACGCAGAATGCTTTTCAAACAATCAACTCTTGGTAGGCCCATTGTTTTCACTTTTAGCTTTGTTATTCCCTTTTGATTATAACTTTAAATTATACATATTTTAAAATTGTGCTTGGCTATTTGCAATTCACACTTGAATACTGATTTCATATCAGATTTCACCTTGGAATCATGTTTTGATTTTTATGGAGAATTTGATCTATTAACGAAAATTAAATAATTTCTAATTATCTGAAATGTACTATATAACTGCCGTTTGTTACGTTTGTTACTTTGCACATATGCCAATACTCAAGCCCATCTGCCTGTTATAAATGTAATTGCCTTTTAACTAGCTGACAATTTCATCAATATTGCCTGTTGGGGCTAATTTTCTGTATTCCTCCAGCTGTTAGTCCACTTTGACGACTTCCAGCAGCTCAGATCTCTCTAATGTCACCATTAAAACTCAAGTTAGACCATCAAGTTTCTGGTAGGAGTAGTCCTTGTTGTTTGCTGGACATGGAGGAACATCGATCTCTTCAGGTTTGTAGTTATTTCTTCACGCTAATTCTCTTTCAGTGCTTTCAACTGAATAACTTATTCAAATAATAGACTTTAGTGGCCTCTTTATCAATTTGCCTTAGCCATGAATGGCTGCTAGCCGCAATATTTACTTGTGGAAGTAGGAAGAATAGGATTTGCACTGGCAGTGCCAACAGTGTTCGTTTCCGCTTTTTTCTCCACTTTGTAAGGCATCTCGTTTTTTTCGTTTGTGTGCGAAAATGTTCTTTTATGCGTAACTGTAAACTCTCAGCTTACGCGACCTAAAACACTAACAAATTGTTCTCATCTGCGCCGTTACTATGACTATGCACCGAGACCCGCTCTCCTATCCTGTGAGTAAGTGAATAATTAACGGATCAGGTAGAATGGATTTCGTATGTATCTGCCTCATTAACCAATAAGAGCTTATAATTTCGTCCTTATAAGGCACCTATGATTATCATCGATATTGTTTGGTGCTGGTCATCATATGCATGTTCTTCAAATTTGACTCCTTTTTAACAAGTGCGCTTGTCAAAATTTGTGTTGTGTGGAAGTGGGTTGTAACTTTGAATATTACATTTGCAAAGAGATTTTCATTTTGAAATCCCGATTTCGTTGCTTCTATTTTAATTGAAAATGTCATACTTTAAGAAATATTGAGATCTTCGAAGGCTAGTTAGTAGATGATTTAAATAAATTTTGACTTTTTTGAGCCTTTATTTGCTATTTAACAACCTCACACTTAAAAAGTCCCTGGAAATCGTCCAAGGCCACAAAGAAACCTACATCCATATTTACAAAGTTCACACGTTTGAGCACCACTTCTTTCTTCAAAGTTATCGACTTTCAATTTTAGTTTAGGACGATACTCACTTGATCACGTGATCTCAATCGAAATAAACTCTTACCAACTCAAATTTCTTGTTAAGTTCCCCAACCAGAGTGGTCACTGCGCCCTTTTCTGTTGAATCAGTTCTATGTGGAGGAAATATTTCTATTTATTTAATCGCGTGTATTTATTAGGCCAAACAATTCTTAATTGGATGGCATATGTGTTTGTTGGAAGTGAGCAGATAGGCCATCATATGTCTCCTCATGTGTTCTAAATTAATTCCCGTTTGTGCTTGTGAGCATGCGCAATAAACGTCTATAATGGAAATGAATAGACAGGGGCTTAAGAATTTTTAGAATTGCTAAAAGATTGTTGAAAGGACGCTGGTCACCATATATTTTATGTTTGAGCACCTAGATTTTGGTGTGGTCAACGTTAGTCCTTAATATTGATAAGATTGGATGAATTGTGCACATTTAAGTCACTTCATTTAAGTGATTACTATTTGTTGTATGGCTGTTCTTTTATTCAGTCGAGTGATTTCTTCCTCTCCAAAGTACTTTCGACCTTCCATACTGCGTTATCCTCTATGTAATATCCAAATTTAATGGAAGTGGATACCTTAAAGACTTCAAGCGGTTGAAATGATCGATGCCATTCATATACCTATTAGTACGTGTTGCGATATGTGAGAACTTTTATGGTCTTCAATTGCAATCGGTTATTGAACTTCAGAGCGATAGATTAAATTTTAAAACTAGACTTAGTTTCAATGGTGAGCCATTTGACCAATTGGGGCTTTTCAATGCCTTCGTTGTCAGCGATTTTACTAGCTAGTTTAAATTCCTTTGTAAGAAGAAGCAGGCATCAACTCGGATTTCAGTTATTTGGGATTAGGTTTGCAGTCCCCTATTTCTGAAAGCTCTTAAATGGATCCTGCCATCAAGTAATAATTTCTTATCGCAATGGGGCTTGTTATTTAGCGTATTATGGTGTCTTACAGCTGCTGTCTATACTTTTTTGAACCTTTGCATAAACACTCTCTCATGTACTTTATAAAATCTAAATTTACATTTGGGTTCCAACTGGCATTGCTTATTTGTGAAATTCTTCCTCCTCCCATGGTTATATTATGGCTCTCTCTCGTCAGTTTCAACTGTCACTTTCGGTTCGGTGCTACTTATTTCAAATTCGCGCCTATTTTGGGTGCCAATTGATTTCCCCTCTATCTCTGATTTATGAAAGTTGGACACGATTAACTGCACGTTAAATGCAGGTAATGAAGTTGAAAATCAATAATATAGCGGAAAAAATCGTTTTTCTCGCGGGATCGATAAATGGGGAAAAAATTGTAAATGATCGATACTCATTAAACAAATCAGTGCAGGTCAGTCGAGGCCATGTAAACGGAAATGCAACTGGCTAATAACGACCGATCAGTCTGATTCTCATCCTCAAGTACAGTTCACCCTGTCTGTCACTGTTTGACTAGTAAGTCCTCATTTCTATAAAAGTTACAGTCTTGCTGCCACATTAGCCCCCCCTCCCCATCTTTAATGTATTGGGAATTGTGATTCATTTTGGACAGTTGGTGTACCAAATTCCCGAATGTTAGGTCCATTTAATGACCCATTGTGGGAACTACTGACACTTTTAAAACCCACGTCCTTTACTGTGAATGCAAATATTACAGTTACCTAAGGTGAAATTGAGACAATTTTTTATCTGGGTATGCGAATGTTTCCTTTATTTCTGCATTTGCAACTTAAACTAGAGGACCTTCAAAGGAGCCATGCTCTTTCTTTGAAACAATGCTTTAAGTAATTAAAAATTTGACAGTCAGTGTACACCCTTCACTCATATAGAATTTTTTCTGCGAGTTCTACTTAGATGACGATATTTGATGGGTTTTCATTTTGAATCCGTTAAGGAGCAAACCATTTGTCGGCTCTTATAAAATTTTTCGTTCTCACTAATATTTACAGCAAATTGGTAAGGCCATCAATTCGTATTACCAACCCCTTTCTTCCTATTCGAAATTGTCTCCCTCTCCCCTCCCACCATTGCACCTCCAGGAATATTTGGCTTCCCATTTGTGCTCAAAGTGCACTTTCCTTAACTTTGCGGCTTAGCGATGGTGTTTAGCAAGGCACTTTCTCTAACTTCAGACGTGCCTGCAGATCGATAAAAATCCATCTGTGTAGTTTTCAGTTGGTTGCTAAACTTGTCGATGATTCAGTTCCCTAATTACCACTAAATGACAAAAATTTTCACTCATGAAACCGCCGGTCATTCTACTCGTTATATCGTTCTCATGTGTACTCATTTCCATCTTAAACTGGCTGTTTCATACATTAGAAGAATTTATGACTTATGAGACGGTATTGTTTCTTAGACCCTTTTGAGGTATAATATAGTGCCGACCTTCCAAATGGCGGTATGCTGAGCGGCTCGTAATTAATCACCGAGAAATCCTATTTCCCTTTAATTTTGTGTTTGTAAATTTGATATGCCTAATGCAGTCAATTTCTAAATGTTACCGTTCCTCTTAGCATCTAATCTCTTACTACCTATGACCGTGTCAAGGCGAAAGTACTTGTTTACCAATCTCCTATTTCCTTAATTTTATAAGTTTACCATTTCAATCTGATGTAAATATGAAGGCACCCTTTATTTTCTTGTGGGCAATAGAAAAATAGGACTACAGGAATGCTGAATCATCACTTTTAGGATTCAGATCATTAAATCACTTTCATTTGTTTAGAAATGCCTTTTCTTAATCTAAGGATGTGAATTCGTCTTAAACATGCCACACAATCGCCTTTCTAGAGCAGTTTTGCGCACTTTATCTCAATAAATATCTAGCGCTTTAGTTGTTCAACGCTCGTTAGAAATGTCGTGTAAATAAATCAATTTTAAAACAATTACATTCTTGATAAGGGAAATGTGAATTGGGCCATATGGGTCTATCTCCAAGACCAATTCATCGGATATTAAATGCAAATTCAATTACACGACTGCCAATTTACGGGTCACAGAATCGATACTCGATGACACACATTCGGTAACATGGGTTGGTAATCTCAATTGTCAATGGGAGAATACGAGTTTTCCAAGAGAGCTGTTCAAGAAAACCCCTCCTCTATCCAAAATCAAGTCCAGTTGGCCCTTGCCTCAGTTGACTTACTGATTTTGAGTCTAATTTGCAAATTCATTTCTTGTATTTTTAATTATAACTTAGGATTTCACTAAGTAGCTCAGAATCAGTCCTCTTTCTGCACAATTGCCAGAGTTAAGGTGATTTTAATAAAATAGAGTAGATTTTCTCTCTCTATATATAAGCATTTCTCACCCCTGTTTCCCTGGTATTAAATCAAGATGTGGTGAATAAATTACCGGTCGAGGCATTGCACAATACCCTGCCACTCGATGTGTTTTCATTGCACTGTTCTCTTGCCTGCTGACTCATCTTTCTCTTAAGCCACATTTGAGGCCTTTGATCTGGCTGACGATAATTTGGCCCGAAAATATGTGCCACCTAGCCAGATGTTCCTCCCTTTGACCTCTCTACAAATATATAAATATAAACGTACCCTTTGTGCCTATGTGGTCACTGCACACGCACCTTTCATTTCAGAATTCACGGATTTGGTAATCATCGGCCCATAAGTAATCGTACTAGTGAGGACAGTTGTGTTGAAAAATGCTTTGCTACAGCCCCTTTCGGTGGCGTAGTGGTCGGCGTGTAATGTCAGCCAAATAAAGTGGGTCGCCACTCGTACGTGCTAAATCTGCTCACTAAGAGGGGTAGTCTGATTCGATTTTCTTAGATGAGAGGCTCCATGATGCCTTCCTTCTTCTCTATTCTGACGGCAATAGCTAATTTTAATTAATACGATTTCTTGGTGGGAAGTCAATTTCTTTGAGTGAATTTTGTGTATCACGTGCTATGAACACTTCATTTTGAAATGACTGCGCATTTCTTGAAAATAAAACGCTATTTTTCTTCCCATATTTCATTTGTCTCCTTCAGTGGGTGGCCTTGTATAGGCAAGGTTATTTATATTTGTTTATGTTAATTGGCCAAATGTAGAAGGTGCTGGCGCCACAACGCAAGCTTTAGAACTTGCATTGCATTTTTTTTTGGGCATTTAACATTTTTTAGGGGATCGATTAAATTTTGTGCCTTAAAGATATCCATGAAACCAAGCCTCCTAATTTTTAATAAATCGGTGTGAACTTTAACTTTCCATTCAATAATCTTCAAAATCTGATTACCAATGTCACTCTCGCGTTCAATTGTTTCAAGCAGAAGGGAATTTATATGCAAGGTCATTAGTAGCAACTTATTAATCTTACTTCGCTATCCAACTTATATCCTCGATATGATCTTGAATCCATCCTTCTTTATCTCATCTACTCTTGAACCATCGAGTAAATCCAGGTACATTTTTCCCTAAATCCACAAAATTTGTAGCTTGTGAATTCTTATCACTGTTGACACCGGCCAAGATTAATTATCTTACTATCCTCTATTGTGGTCGATGCTGCTTTTGTCTGAAAGTGCTTTGGAGTATAATTTTGATATAGCACGGAAACAGTAAGTACTCGTGCCATTTGCTTGAGGAAGGAGGTCAGGCACTTCGCTTAGATACTACTGAGAGGAAATATTGAGAAGCCACTCCCAAAAGAGGAAGGAAGTGGTGATGTGCTCATTAGGGCTTGTCATGTCACGGCACGAGGATCGACTACTAATTGGTAATTGCTTAAGATATAGAATTTCTTAATATCCCACAGTGATGACAGTTAATTGGCATCCTTATTTTCTTGCTAGGCCCTGACTGAGTTTTCCTTAAGGCAAGGTAAAAATTGGGGTTTTTCATTCCGGCAACGCCATTAAACTCAGGGAGCACTAATGTTCACTAGAATATGGGTAACGGAAATGGGATCGATATAGTGCAAATAGCGAAGTTTTGACACCCAACACAGGGTAAAGCTTTGTGTTAATTGACCAGAGTTATTGTCGATTGCGTCATTGTCTAATGTCTCGATGATCAGCTCCTCTGTTTTCACATTCAAGATGACCGCAGTCGACAACTTCGGATGCATCGTCTTCGTTTAATGGTCATGAAGTCATCACAATGCTTAGAGTTACTTGGTATCAAGGTAGCAAAGCTCATTGATATTACTCGCAAATAGAGTCCATGACATTGTGGTAAATAAATGAAAATTTCATGCATTTGTGAATCTGGACAGAAAAGTGAAAGTTCTTTTTACTAAGCGTAGGCAATTTGAACCCACTCATCAACATTTCACACCTTTTCACGCACCCGGTCCTCACAAATACAGCTGACTTCCAATCATCACCTGTCGTAACTGTCATTGGTTCCCTTGAATTTCCGCCTATTGTGTCGTTCACACGTAAGCTTATTTAAATTTTTAACTCGGCACATCTCCTTCCATTTAGATGAAAAACCGGAGCTAGCTCTTCAACGCACTGAGACCTCCAACACTGCCCTCAGCAACGCCGTTTCTCAACCCTCGGTTTACTTTTCATCGTCGTCTAAGGCAACCTGGCCGACTGTTGAAAAACTCTTGCGATCCGAATCGATTGCCCATCAAGTGGATGGTACTATTCCTCCTCACTTAGATCCGGAATTCGTTAAACGTCGAGCCACCACACTGGCCATTGATATGTCTTCAGAGCGCCAGAGCAAAGCGGCCAATAGAAGACGCTTATTCGTAAGTTGATTTCTTTTAGTAATTGAATCTAGAATTAACTTATTTCATAATACATATTTTTGTGTATTAACCTATTTGAATTTAGTTTAGTCGCGATGCTATTTCTACGCTCAAAAGAAAGTGGAGTTTTAGTTTATTTTTTGCTCGAAGGTGTCTACATTATGTGCCTTCTACTTGTCTCAAAATGGGGTCAACGGTTCACTCTAATGCCACTGGGACTCCATTAACTTAACTTTCTTTAACAGAACAAACGTCTGGAAAATTCATTTGCCAGACTTGGTATCACGCGCTAAAGGCTGAGTTTAAGAAGATTGGAAGGGTTCAAAAGTCGATCTGGAAAGAAAGCCTCGTATATTTCATAGGTTATTATGGATGAAATATTATGGGCGTGCGTGTGATAAGATTGACAAAATTTAGATTAGTAAATCGAGCGATTATGAGTGCTCACAATAGAATAATAAAATTACTGACTACTTAACGTAAACCAAACTTAAGTGGAGCCGTACACGGAGAATGAGTTTATTCGGTAGGAATAAATATACACCTCTATGTATATAGTATAGATTTTGAGCTTATAGATTGGTCGATAACTACGAGTTGTTTCGACAGGATTGTCTCTTCGAATAGTCAAAGGCAGCTTAGTTGGGAGGTCCTTGCCTTGCGGAGCTCTTCCACTTTAACTTACTTGAACCGCTTTCTCCAAATCCGAACTTTTTGTTTTACATTGGTCTATTATTTCCTGATCATTATCTTTCTTCTACATAATTGTATCGGCATTTGCAATAGTTGGCTATGACTTTGTTATTACTTGAGTAATGCAATGTATGCTGTCTCCAAATTCGCATGTGAACTTTTTACTGCGTAGACGTTTTGCGTAGACAAGACCGTAATCTCACACAATTTTGGTATTTTGTGAGTTAATAGACTTGGATATGCTAACTACTTACAGATTAGATTTCTGCCCTTAAATTATATTTGATCCAAACACTCCTGTTCCACATACTTTGTCGAACTTCTGATTTATGTGCTCTTTGATGAAGCGCTTCAATCACATTTTCCCTGTTAAATTGCTATTCGTTGGGGATATTTGGTGGGTGGTGTACAATAAACCCAGTTACTTAGTGGGCTTATGGAATATGATCACTAGATTATCACTTTACCAGTGGAGATTGAAGACATGCCTGGTCACTTCCAAGCTTGAGATAATTGCGTAGAGTCCAATTGATTTTTTTTAATTTTGGGAAGCTAGAGTGCCGCATCATGGTCTACTTGGCAGTTAGGTTGTAGTAGATCCGAGAGGTTGGAAAACGCAACTCCAAACATTGAGCTTTGGTAAATTTTCATCACTGCGAATCTGGTCATCAACAGGCTGATTGCTACTCTTTCCTACACAAAATCGGCATAACTGCACTTACTGTGCTTATATTCTGGTGATTTCTACTTCGCCATTTTAGATTCATTTTGAAGATTTCCACCAGAACAGAAGATAAATGATTTCGAAATATGTAGGCAGCCACTCAAATCGTCTTTGTCTTCCAAGTTAAGGACAAGATTATTTGATCGGTTGATACAGGGGTCAGGGATAAACACGCACCAAATGCAACGCCCTTTAAGGTTACGCATGTAGGAAGAAAGACTATCGACAAAAGCAAATTCCATGATTTGAATGTTTTGAATCAAACGAAAGATTGGAATTGAACTATCGATGTATTTAAGCTAGCAATTCCCTCATATTCGGGCACATCGTCAAGGAAGGAGGAGAGTAAACACAATTGGAGATTATCTCCGTGAAACCTCAACTTTTCTAGGAGGTAATCGGATTGAAGAGTGCTAGATGTCGGTTTTCAAGTGAGAGAATTCACAGTCTCTTACGTTTAAAAACCCTATTCAGAAGTTTTGGCGCCGTTTCAAATTCATTGCATTGTAAGTCAGTGTTGAATAAACGACAGCATACTTCAAGATACCTTATTTATTTACCTTTGAACTAAAGTGTATTATCACTGAGGTACTAAATGGTTCAGAGAATACTTCAGGTTTGAGCTATTTATTGCAATCGACCTTCAAGATATCCCTCAATCGCGAACATCAAATGCAAACTTCAATTTCTGGCTAAAAGATTATATTCTGTCTATTTTTTGCGGTAAGTAAGAGCATTTTCTTCAAGCGTTGGGGCTAATTTCGTCTAGGAAGAATCTAAAGGGCACTTTTAATTCCCCTACGCGTATTAATTATGAATCATGCACTCCCATCTCTATGACTCAACTACAATATTTATTGCCATGCCTCCAATGGCCAGAAAATACCTTCTCTAATTTGCCCACTAGGAACGTCTGCCTTTTTGTGTGTCTGGATACTTAGGCACTGCTTAATCCCAATCCATTTATTTGATCAACTTTAACGCACTGGTCGATAGTGGTTTTGCAAGGGAAATGGGAGCGTTTCGATCTTGAAACTAGTACTTCTGCATAACTACAGTGGAGGTTAGGTCTCCTGTGTTCTTGAAAAGCTTATTTCTTGGAATCTCTTGGAAGTTTTTGATTAAAGTTGCACTTTCCAAGCATTTTAAAAAATGTTACAGTAGCTGGTTGTTTAAGGAAGCAAAGTGTTTCATTCCTTTCCGTCTTCTTAATCTTAGGAGTGGGGAAGAAAGCGCGCACTTGGAAAGGACTATGTAGCGGCTCCGCTTCCAATTTTACTAGTTCCACTTCAATCCATTTTGTGAGGCTGTTTTTCTTTTGCAACATTATTTACTTTACTCCAGCTTTCTTTACCGATGGCTATTAACACAGACCGTTGGACCGAAATTTTTGTTTACGAATGAACTCTTTGCTTTGTTTCCCATTCTGTCCACAATGGAGATTACATCTCTACTGCGTTCCCCAATTTGGCATGACATTTGCCAATTGGACATTTTAATCGCTTATCTCCTTTATCCTCTTTTCTCCAAATTAAGTTAAAATTTTCCCATATTTTATCTTTGCCAATGGAAATTCACATTTGTTGTTTTCGTGCAGTGATCATTCAATTCGCCTTAAAACACGTAAAAGGTTCTACCAACCGTGATGATGATTATGATGATGATGGTGGTGGTGGTTGTGCCAGTGGTCGAAAAATCGCTTTAATCTGAGCGGTCGTGAATGTACACTCTCCTCTACTGCATTATGAGTAAGAAGTAGTTCACGGTTAAAATTTTTAGACAAAGTAAGTGGCCAGCACTAGCATTCGAGCTTGAAAATCCACTTGAGCAAGAGGCTTCCAAAGCCGACCTAAAATATCTCACTCGATGGGAGTATAATTATTTATTTATTTATTTCAAATGGCAGGCGTTATGATAGGTATCATTAACCCTTTAGTTGACTTCAGGCTTCACAGAAAGGAAGATAAACAGTAAAGTGGCAAAACGTCGAGAGGGGGACAGAATAATGATTCACAGACGTAAAAGAGACAGACAGACACAAAGGTAGAAAAAGGTGAGGTGAGTACTGTGAAATTATTCGAATATGAAATGCAGTGGGGTCTTGGTAGTTTGAAGTGAGAAGTCAACTGCCGATTAATAGGCTTTTTTGCCGTATGAGTATACGTTGCCCAGGGTGCACCACGTGGAGGTAAGTCTATCGCACACCCCGGGAGTATAATTATAATTACTTAAACTCAGTGAAAGCGGCTCTATTAGGATTGTACACCGTCGTCCAAATCACATTTTGACAAGAGTGAGAGGCAAGAAAGAGCATTCCAAGAACGGAAGACAAATATTATTGGTGTTTGTTGTTTTAACGATTGTAGAATATTGTTTTAATTAGCCCAAATATAATTACGATTTAGATCTGACTAGATTTGAATTCTCAGTATCTGTATTTCGGTTATGACTACCACGAAGGGAAGATCTGTTTTACATAGATTTTATCATTTCAGAATTTGCCTTATTAGCTTCGATTAAAACCTCTTAAAAGGGGGCGGTAATTGCAATTTATTTAATTCAATCCATTTCCAAGATTTTGAAATCTCATTACTAGAAGGTGTATAAATATAACATTATACTTTGTAGAGTATCTTCTCGAAACAATTCAACAGTACTCGTGAAGGTGACAACCTAAGGAGTAAACAGGAGTGGTACGTTTGGATTTGGTGTTGTATTTTATTATTTTTGACACCTTTCGATCATCTGCGACTTTTTGGCGTGATTTATTTGGTCCAAAAGAATAGCGGAAATTTGCCTTTTTTGACCTACTTTTTATAGTTAATAGACACAATGCATGTATCGAAAGTGCACCCGTGGAGGTAGAAATGGTAATAAATTCGGCTAGTTCGTAAAAAAAGACATGCTTTAAAGCAAGACTGGTGGTGTCATTCTATCGCGTTCTCACACTTGAGATCGCTCACTCTTCGTTTGGAGTACGGAAAAATTCGGTGGGTTGAATCCGGTTCAAAATGAGCGGCAGACTGTGAGAAGTATTGATTAGGCAATAAATTCTGTCGGCAGTCTCAAACAACTGTTCCCTCTATTAAAGCTAATCTGAGAGGCCGTCTTAAATGTGCTAGTTGTGGTATTTCTCCTTTATGGTGATTGTGTCATTCAGAGCAGAATATCTCCTTCTCATCCTCTATACATTTAGATTCCATCATCTACTTCCTCGTCTTTTATTCCTTTTTTTCGAAGACGAAACATCGAGAAAAAGAGAGGGGGGGGGAATGAGAATTCAGGGGGGAGCGGGATTGCCGCCCACTGTCAAATTACTGTGCTGCTTCGAAATTAAATTAAGGGAAACACAAAACAGTGTATTCAAATTTCGAATGGCTAATTGACACTTGTCTTGTATTCAGTCTTAAATATCGCGCAAAGTTAAGGGGGCGAGCGCTCTCTGCCTATTCACCCACATCTACAAAACGCGTCGATCGAACAGAATTTGGGGGGGGGGCATTTTGAAAGTTTCACTTTTCTAATTCTATTCATCCCATATGCTGCATGCACCCCATAGAATTATTTCGCAACTTTTGCTTCATAAATTGTTTACCATAGAAAGTATTCTCCTCTTTACAGGCCAACGCTAACTTCGGATATTAGTTGTTGCCTTTTAAATCACAAGTCTTTTGACTAATGCGCATATTTAACATATACGGAATCACCTAAGTGCACGTTAACACATTCCTCAATTAAGACTCCGTAATCAAATTGTTGATGCTAACAGTTTGTCTGCTATATCGATCTCTCACATTAATTAGCTCATTAATGAAGAGCCATAGTCCCAATTGCAGCCAACTGTATTCCCACACAGCAAAGGATATGATAAAAATGTGTTCTCGTAGTCTCCCCATTTCATTTCAGGTTAAGTATTTTATTACCTCCTTCCTCATAACCTCATAAGGCTCTTCCGCCTACTTCTAAACTGTCATAAAATGAGGTTATACCCTAAGTGGCCACTCCCCACCCCACCCCCTTCCCTCATCTAACTTTATGCTAATAACCTTACCTTTAAACTTGCATTTTGTTGTTGCCTCTTTTGCAGCCCTTCGGTGGATAATTTCCCCAATGAATCCACCGCGTCTCCTAGGGTTGTGCAGAGTTTGGTGGACTCTCTGGGTCGACACAAATCTGATCTCAAATTCTCCGTCTCTGCTCTTCATGATAGCATCGTTCATAGGGGAGAAAAGAACTGCTTTCAGGTCAGTTACCACCTGAGTCATTTAGTTCACTCGTGTTCTAGGTTTAGGCGTGGCCAATTTCAAGCAAATCAGCAGAGAGTTGGGTGGTGCCAAAACAACGAACAACAATCTCTGGTCACAATATTTATCTTTGAAAAGAAAATACTCATTCTATTTCGATGGTTGCCTTTTAAGATCCATTCGACCATAATAACTATAGTTTCCACCCAAAGATTTATTTATATCAAATGGCAGGCGTCTTGATGGTCATCATTAGCCCTTTAGTTGACTTCAGGCTTCACAGAGGGGAAGAAACATCAAATTGAAAAAAGTCGATTTGGGGGGGGGGGGTTCCAAAAATGTAAAAGACGCAGACAAAGGTAGAAAAAAGGTGAGGTGAGTACTGTGAAATGAAATGACATACAGTGGGGCGATGGTAGTTTGAAGTGAGAAGTCAACTGCCGGTTTATAGACTTTTTGGCGTATGAATATACGTTGCCCAGGGTGCACCACGTGGAGGTAAGTCTATCGCACACCCCTCCACCCAAAGATTGTTGTTGGAAGACGTTGGTTCCTAAAAGGGTGACAAAGTTTCTACGGCATTTCAAGTCGGATCGGTGCTTCTTCGCCTTCATTGAAACCTTTTTTGCTTAAGATATTTAGTAGAAATGCTGCCATAGAAAATCGAACTGTTGCTTGCACACCCTTGTCTTTTTAACGAGTGCCCATTTCACAAATTGGTTCAAGACTTTCCGGGGTGGGTGGGTGG